CTCCTCATTATGCAGTTTTCTCCAAACTCCTGTCATTTCATCTCTCTTCGGTCCAAATATTCTCTAAAATATGTAATTATTCAAACCTTGTAAACATCAAGTGTCACAAGAAGAGGTTTCGGTAGTACAGAATTGAAAGAATTTGAGGATAATCGAGCGTGTCTCATTTTCCGACAGGAATTGTGTCTCTGGAAGAATGGAGCGAGGAAGCAAACAAAAATGTGTGTTTAACATTCGTATTAATACAGTTATTACAAAACTTTTCGGGACGGGATAGCTCAGTCAGTATAATGACTAAGATATGGGCTGAAGTATCGAGAGATCGTGGTTCAGTAACAGGCAGGGGCGAGAGAGTTTTTCTCTCTTTTCCACCGCATCCAGACCGGCTGTGGAACCCACCCACCCACCTTCCGCGACCTCTTCCTTCGGGTGTAAATCTGCAATAGCGTGAAGCTAGCCACTTACCTCCACGTAACAAACAACAAAAAAAAAGACAAACTCCGTGGTTTTAGTCATCAAGCGAATTATACCGACTGAGCGACTGCCGCTTGCCGGTGAAGTTAGTGCCAACTTCAGTGGATAGAGAGTGTCGCGTGGTTAGCGCAACGGATCCCTACTGCCGTTAATGTCGGTTTTCTAGACCGGAGCCGTTATTTCCTTAAAATAGCTCCTCAATTATCCTCACGAGGCTGAGTGGATCTCGTTCCAGACCCACTACTTCTCAGAAAATCTGGTAGCGCCGGGAATGAACCCGGACCTCTGGATCTGTAGGCAAGAGCTCTGACCACTAGGCCACAGAGGCGGTCACTTACACATATTACCCAAATTATGAATGCTTTCGTCCGTACCTGCACTCGTAGTACTTCAAGGCTTCATGGTTTTATGCTTAATTAAGTACAGGGACAACTTTACCTTTATCCGGATTACGAACTTTGTCTGTAGATAACAATTTGTTCAAGGGGTAATATTTCTGTGTTTGGGACCGTGCCCCGCTTCGAATCTCGGTTAGGACACCGACTGTTTGAACTCGGATTGTTTTTCATTTTTTCCATCTCTTACTGTAATCAAATTCCGGGGCAGTGGCCCGCCTTAAATAATGCCACAACCGCTTCCCTCCAAATTTTTGCCCAATTTATTTTTGATTATCCTACCATTGGATGCGAAGGAAGATGAGGTTGGCAGGGCATGTGGCACGAATGGGGGAGAAGAGGAATTCGTATATGATATTGGTGGGAAAGCCAGAGGGAAACAGATCCCTGGGAAGACCAAGGCATAGATGGGTGGGCAATATTAAAATGTATCTTAGAGAGATAGGATGGGATGGTATGAATTAGATCTGTCTCAGAATAGGGACCAGTGGAGGGCTCTTGTGAACACGGTAATGAACCTTCGAGTTCCATAAAATTCTGGGAAATTCTTGAGCAGCTGCACATTTGACGGCTTCTCAAGAAGGGTTCAGCTCCATGAGTAAGTAACATTCGATGCTTTTCACTCTGAGTTGTTGACAGCGTCATTAAACAAACAACAAATATAGAACTCCTTGCAGTATACAGGTCTTCTTAAGAATTTGATCCTGTTGGATGTAGACCTTTTGAGCCGGAAAATGGCACACATTGTTGCCGAATCTTGTTAACTCTACCAAACATCTTTAGCACGATGTGAGTCCCCCTCTGTTCGCGTGTGCAGATGTTCTGCGTGGGAGCAAGAGAGATGGAACTACCGTGGCGTGGCTCCCTCCTGAGTGATTATCCTGTCAGGGCGAGATGAACTCGGACTGACAAACGCTCTTCACGGATCCTCCAGGGCCATTAAAACGTTCCACGAGTACCGGGAAAAATCACGGCAAAGATAATTAACAACAGAGCTTGAACACACTGTATAGTATCTGAAGATTATGTGTTGACTTGAATCTGTTTGTGTAACGACCCTCTCTTTTGCTCTGAGGCTAATAGCATTGAATTGCGTAGTATGGGCCTTGTGTTTTCTGAGATCCAAATGTTTTTAGAAATGTGAAACAAAGAGTGGAGTTGTGGGATATGACGCCGTGTAGTCTAGTAGTAAAATTTACCACAGTACACCGCTTCATATCGCAGAAGGCACGCATTCTTCGTGGTAACAATGACTTTTGAAATATATTTTTACTACTCCGCATCGCCGTGAAGTGGATGGCATTTCTGCTCCGTACTTGAGATCCCAAGTTCGAATATAAGCCTCAAGTCCAACTCTACTAGCTCATGTTTTATTGCCTTACCTCAGTTCCTGTAAGGAAATTCAGAGGCAACACTGTCAGTAGACCGAACGAGTTGTCTTAGCTGTAAAGTTCTTGACTGTCATTCTTGATGTATAAAAAATAGAAAAGGTAAAGTTGTTCCTGTACTTAATTAAGGACTGCATCATGAAGACGTATGGGAGAGTGGAGGCATAACTCCACCATTCTTCACCTCGCCAGTATGTGGTTTGTGCACAGCTTCATGCCCTGTTCGCTTAACCCCATGGGAAAAAAAACGAGGGTGTCCATTGGATAGGAGGCTGGGTGGACCTCAGAATCGGTCTGGTCACTGCGGAGAAGAGAAGAGTCTTTTCTCTGCTGGGAATCGATCCCCTGTCGTCCAACCCATACCCCGTCGCTATACCGACTGATACCGACTGAGCTATCCCAGCTCCAAAAAGAAATCTGGGTGTGGTGTGTTCGAATCTCGGCTGAGATAGCTGTAATATCCTGTGGTTTCTCGTTGTTTTCCTAAGTCCCTCCAGGTAAATATTCGGATAGCACCACGAATAGGCCACGACCTATTCCCACCAAATCCTTTCCAATTCATCAGTTATCATACTGGTAAATACTGTATTAATAGCATCATGAAATAACTCACAAAAATACCACAATTACGCTATGGCAGTTTTCTTGCATATTCTTGCCAGTTCCTCGGGGGCACGCGGTAGCGTAGTTGGTTGAGGGGCTATGCTACAAGCCGGAAGGTCGCGGTTTCAATTCCCGATGAGTTCATTGGATTTTTCAATTGACCTAACCCTTCCGGCCGCACTATGGTCCTGGGGTCGACTCAACTTCTGACAGAAATGAATACCAGGAATGTTCCTGGGGTTAAAGGGTGGCCGGCGCTTAAGGCTGACATTCTTACCGCCATATGTGAGCCGACTTTGTAGATAATATGGGAAGCTCGACGTCTCACTGCCCTATGGGCCTCCACGGTCTGTTACAGGGATAGCTTTGCCTTTTGCCAGTCCATTTCTTATCCAACGCTATGTAAATTCTTCAGTTGAAAAACGTCCATAAATAAACTAAATATAATATATGCTTTCTTTGCATCTTTCCAACTTATTTACTTACTTATTGGCGGTTCTCGAAGAACTTTGGTCTTCTTTACGACAGATGTCAGCTCTTTCGTCTGGTACCCTCGCCAGGTTTATTAACATATGAGTGTATTGTTTTCCGAGTTGAGGTTGATAGCCTCACGCCCAAACCCCAACCTGCAGGCACGTGCGACTTATGTCTAACATGGGTGACCCTACCTGGAGTTACGCTCCGGCTAGCATAACTGTCCAGGCGATCAGGATGGGCAGACCTCCCCACCATGGTAAGTTAATTGCCCCGGGTGAAGGGTTACACATGGCTTGATGTTCATTAATTAAAGACACAAATACATCGTTGGCAGAACTAATAAACAATATAGATATTACACTCTATAGACTTATGCATCATATTATCTTTACATATTGTCATATATAAAGCCGAAGTCGTACCGTGCCCGAAGCTGAAGTCAGTTCTTAATGAAATGCATGTTTTCTGTTATCGAGAAATATGATAAAATTAAAGTAGATTTTATGTTCTTTTGGATTTCTGCAAACCAAAATGAAATAAACGTGAAGTATTCTGGGTTGTAACGCCGCATAGCTCTAAGTTGTTGAAACGTTTCCGAGGAAAACATCACCTCCATCTTCAGGGTCAAAGTTTAAAACGGCTAAGAAACGAGCACAGCTTGCCGTCTGCTTCTGATGGATGTGATGTTTTCTTCCTGTCCGATCTACATGGCGTTACAACCCAGAGGACCGTAATTTCAAATCCAATATAAGACATTGCTCCTGTAATTTTTGGTGTAGGCTTCTTGTATTCGTTAAGTAATTTGAAAGATGGACTGTATAGATGGACAAGACCTTGCTGTTTTTGTTCGTTTTGCACTTCTTTTTATAAGAAATGAAGGGACGCAAATATGGAAGAAAATAAAGAGGTATATTTTAGAACCATTTTTATTTTAACTAGAAGCCATATTAAAGTCGCATGATCAATTGTGGGGGGCACGAGTTTCTGTAGTTGTTTGAGGCACTATGCTCCGAGCCAGAAAGTCACGGGTTCGATTCCCGATGAGACCATTGGTTTTTTTTCTATTTACTTAATCCTTCCAGCCACAATGTGGGCTCGACTCAGTCTCTAGCAGAAATACACGTAAGTACCAGTGATCTTCCTGTGGGGTGTAAAGGCGGCCGGTGTATAAGGCTGACAGCCTCACCGCCATCTGTTATCCGATTGTCTTGAAAATGTGGGAGCCTCAACGTCTCACAAGCCTAAGGGCTTCCTCGTCCTGTTACAGGGATAGCTTTACCTTTTTTTTATGATCAGTTGTCTATGCGATCTCGCGTCGTACAGATACTTGTACATTGCTTCACGGAAAAATAATTTGTCTTGAGGATCGGATATCCGCTCAAGAAATTCCTTACTTTTACCGAATCCTAAGGTTCATTACCGTGTTCTAAAGAGCCTTCCACTTGAATCCATCCCGAGATTGTTGAATTCCGTCCACAATCTCAAGCATTATTTCTGTAAGGTCCATTTTAATATTATCCTCCCATCAATGACAAAATCTTCCTTTGATTATATGTAAAAAAATATTTTATATTTGTTACCTCCCCACGTGTTACACATCCTGCCCATCATATATGCCTTGATGATGTTACCGTTACTAATTTTTTATTTTCTTTGGTCACAGGCACTCCCCCTCTGACAGGATCAGGTACTGTGCGCGTTGTGGTCCAGGATGTCAACGACCACAGTCCTGAGTTCGAACTGCAAGCATACAGTGCCACAGTGAGAGAGAATCGTCCCCCTGGAACTCCAGTTCTTCAGCCGGTCGCTACAGACAAAGACGCTGACCTCAACGCCAAGATAAGGTGAGAAGGAATACGTTGGATGTTTCTCTTTTAATCTGCTAAGGCAGCCATACCTGAAATGAACAATGATGGAGGTAGTTTACAGAGAAAACTGACCTTTGCTAATAAAATTCAGCAATTATTTAGGAACATAACATTTGAGTGATTTTCAAATTGTGATATGCATCCCACTGCAAGTCACAATTCAGTAAATCAGCTGTAGAGCACTGTAATGTTAGGAAAAGACTTATACTTGCAAAGACAAAGGAACAATAATTTTCATTTCGTGCATCCTTTTGTGTTACAACGTACAACTCTTTATTGACCGTCATAACACAAGAAACAGAAAAAATCAAGGACAGCGCCCAGCTATAGTTTCGCTACATGTTTCAGCCACTAAAGGCCATCATCAGGCAAACACATATTAACAAACATACACCATTGAACTGCAGTACATTAGATTGGATACAGTGTTATTAATCATTTAAAATACTTTGTGTAAAAATGCAATAAGTCAGCTTATATAAAAACTAAAAATTATTGTATAAAACAAGATAAAATTTATGTTATATAACATCGAATCAGTCGTTGATATTTTACTTTTCATACGTTTCCATTTACAAACTGGAAATTCGATATTTCTTTTATATGAGAATGCATAGGAGGCCCATGGTGTTGCAGATTAATTAATTGTATAGCTGGTGCCTCGTCTTATGAAGAATTGTCTGTACTGTATGGAAAGTAAACAACAACAAGAGAGTATAATGAAATTTGTTCACCTAGAAGTTTTAGACTTCTTGAATTAGAGGGTTTATGGTTGTGTAGATATATAAGACAAAGGAAAGTAGAAACTAGCTTCACAGAGGGGGATATCTCTTGAGAAGCTAATGGTTGCTTAAATAGTCCGAAATACCTGACTTTTATGGGACCTGAAGGTTTGTTACCATATTCCCAAGAGCCCTCCTTTGTACTTTGTCTTAAGCCAGATGAATCCAGTGTGTACATTCACACACTAGCTTCTTAAGATCAATTTTAATAATTTGTCCCCACATATAAACCTTAGTCTTACAAGTGGTCTATTCCTTTCAGATTTTCCAAATAAAATTTTGAATGTATTTTTCATCTGTAATATGTCACTCCATGTCCATATTGTCCTCATAAATTACTTTTATCCTTTCATCTGTGTTCTAAAAGCACTGTGACACTATAATTCTTAGTAGTATCTCATATGGGTGATCAACTTGGTCTCTTTGACAGTTGACTGCATTCCTGCTTCATATTGGGGAGGTTCCACGTTTGAATCAAGGCCCAGAAACTGCCTTGGCTGGCTGATCTTTCACTGTATTTTCTTACTGCTGTTTTACAAATTCCTGAACACATGAACTTTACTATTTAGTAACTATCATTTGATATTTGTCAACCTCAGCATTTCATAAACTGTTGTTATAATGTATAAGCAGTCACAGTAGTAGTTGAATGTAAGTTATGGGGTTTTAGAATAAGGGTTTGAGAGGGATATTTGGGGCCAGAAACAGATGGAATAGATTGCCCAGTGAAAAGCTTCACCAGTTGGATTCTTATCTGATTTTATTAAGGGAATAACTGAATATATATTAGATAAAAATGGGGGTGTACTGGAAAATCTGGGTTCTCACCCAGAATATGTAATATCAGTTGCTCCCCAGTCAAAGTCCATACCATTTTCAGTATTTACTATAGGATTCTGACGATGATGTATAACACATAGAGATATTGGGTTTCGGACTTTGTCCATCGTCCTGGTTTTTAAGATAACTAAGAAAAACACGACGTTTCTGAAACTGGATCTGTTTCCGTCCTCAGGTGAGGGAAAACACCTATTCTGTTGGGTCCCTTAGAAAGAGCTAGCCTCAATCACTGGACCTCCCTCACCTGAGGACGGAAAGAGATCCAGTTTCCAAAACGTCGTGTTTTTCTTAGTTATCTTAAAAACCAGGACAATGGATAAAGTCTGAAAACCCAGTATCTCTGTGCATTTTCAGTATGTTTTGAAATAATTTCTCTCTATATATTTCTCTCTCTCTCTCACACACACACACACACAAACTAATATGTTACAAAGTGAACAATTAGGAAAAAAAACAATACAAATTAGTGTGTTTGTTATATCAGACCAGTTTATGGGGTCTTCCTAATGGCAAGGGTTCCAGGGGTTTTTGGTAGGAATGGAAGAAATAAAGAATTGAGAAATTTATTTTGATCTGGGAAGAGACCATGTGACAGAAGAAAACATACATTCAAAAATAGTTAAAAAGAAAAGCATTTAAAACAAATGTATATGTTTATATTTATACAGATAGATGCACAGGTATACAGTCATTGAAAGCCTCTCACCCTGTCGATGTTCTTAGGTCACATTAACCTTCTGTTTCCAGCCATCACTTATCTGACTATATAAGAATAAATCTTCTGTTATCTATGCTGACAGGCAGCGTGCATGATGACAAACAAAAGAAAAAACAAACAAACTCCGTGGCCTGTAGTCCGCAAGCAAACTATACTGACCGAGCAACGACCTCTTATTGGCGAATGTAGTGCCAACTTTAGCGGATTGAGGGTGTCATGTGGTCAACACAATGAATCCCCACGGCCGTTAATTTCGGTTTTCTAGATGGGAGCCGCTATTTCCTTGAAATAGTTCCTCAGTTATCCTCAAGAGGTCGAATGGACCTCGTTCAAGACCCACTACTTCTCAGAAAATCTGGTAGCGCCGGGAATCGAACCCAGACCTCTGGATCTGTAGCCAGGAACTGTGACCACTAGACTACAGGGGCGGTCCCTGCATGATGACAGCATGTAATAATTTGCAGAGACTTGGAATTTCTCTGTTGTCATGATGTAAGATTTTATCATTTTTATGGCCTCTACAGGTACAGTCTGCTGGGTGACAATGTGAGGCGGTTCCTTGTAGACGCAGACTCAGGCTTAATAACAACAGCTGTGGAGCTGGACCGCGAGGAGGCGCAGAGTTATCATCTCACCCTGGTGGCACAGGATTCAAGTGTGACGGAACCGCGTGCCTCAGCTGTGAACCTCACCATCACTGTTCTGGATGAAAATGATAATGCACCACATTTTTCCAGCGAGAGCTACATCATTCACGTGCCAGATCGCACACAGCCAGGTACTTGCATCTCATACACCTCAAAATGTTTCATGCCGGAAGCTCAAAATTTTGGATCAGTGGTCTCTACTGCAACTTTAAATCATCACCAACAGGACTCCTTATCCTCAGAATTTTGGATAACTTTCAATAGGAACAGACTATTCAGAGCAAAACCATTCTGGCATGCTCACTGTGTTATTGCTCTGGATTTTCGGTCAGAGCATGCATAACTTTTGATTTTGATTTTGATTTTGAAGAGACTTCGGTTAATTTGATGCACGTTGAGAAGATTAACATTGATATCTGATTATACAAGTCGACATGTGTAGACACAGCATAAGAGTTCTGGGACAGTCATTAACTGCTGTTTAATCATCTCAGAAACCATAAGACTTACAGAAAGTATATGGGGCATAAAATATGGGCACTCTTCACTGATATGTTGGGTTTTTGGACTTTATCCATCGTCCTGGTTTTTAAGATAACTAATAAAAACACGACGTTTCCGAAACTGGATCTCTTTCCGTCCTCAGGTGAAGGAAAACACCTATTCTGTTGGGTCCGTTAGAAAGAGCTAGCCTCAATCACTGGATGATTGAGTGATTGAGGCTAGCTCTTTCTAACGCACCCAACAGAATAGGTGTTTTCCTTCACCTGAGGATGGAAACAGATCCAGTTTCGGAAACGTCGTGTTTTTATTAGTTATCTTAAAAACCAGGACGATGGATAAAGTCCAAAAACCCAACATATCAGTGTGTTATACACCATCGTCAGAATCCTATAGTAACTAATGGGCATTGTTTTTCATTACAACTTTATTCCGAATATTTCTCATTCTGATAAATATTTAGTGATTTACTCTTGAGATGCACACAGAAACAGATACAGTGTCATTAAACTGGTCCGATCGAAATGAATAATTAAATATATCTCTATATATTTTTTTTTAATTTCTTAATGTTACATCCATTTTATGTATACAGTTGCCATCTTGTAGTGCACTCAGTTTCACCTGTTACTTCACGACATGTTTTGGCAACATAGTGCCATCATCAGGTTGCCAAAACATGTCGTGAAGTAACAGTTGAATTTGAGTGCACTACAAGATGGCAACTGTATACATATCATAGATGAAAATCAGTGCAACAGGACGCTAAAATACAACATTCTTAATGTTACACTTAATTCTAAAAAATGTTAAAATTGATTCATTTGTTGTCAAGTCAGTGTCTAAAAACAGACGAATGAAGTGATGTCACTAGGTGCTGTATGGTGATATGAACATGCCTAAAGCAGGAAAACCATCTCATGATTGTTTGTGATTCTGCTGAGGAACTAACACTGGGAACTGTTCCTCTAGATCAGGTGTTGCTTGATCTGTCAATGTACCTATGAAGCACAAATGTGATCAGTAAAGTAAAATCTAATTTGGAAGTTATTAGTGTATTTATTAAAAAGTAGTTACCGCTGAATTTAATTTTGATCCTTTTAACTCATTAAAATGATTCTTAGAGAGATAGGAGAGGTTGATATTGACTGGATTCATGTGGCTCAGGATAGGGACCGGTTGAGGACTCTTGCAAACAGTTCCATGAAGAGCACTGTCTTCTTGGATATAATGCTGGCTAGTCCGTTGAAAGTCAACTGACAGCAGAACCCTGCTTGCCACCTGTTTTCACACAGGTTTCTTGCCCAGCTTATTCTTCACCCTGAAGATGGAGGTGACATGTTCCTCCACAACGTCAGTTGACTTTCAGCTGTCTACACGGTGTTCTAGCCCAGAAGATGGTACTCTTCATAACCACTGCTTTGAGAATCTCAAATTCTATGATAATGAATTTTTGGGTTCCATAAAATGTTGGGAAATTTTATAGTAGCTGGGCAACTTGTATCTTCTTCCCAACAAGGACTCAGCTCCATGAAGTTAATTAGATACTCATTCAAATGAATGGGGTTCAGTTCCCAGCAGTAGCATATTTTTCCTTCCCTGCTCTATCTTGAACAATTCTGGTGCCCAAGTGACATGTTCAGTGGTTATATGGGCTCATTTTTAGGTTAAAAGCAGTCAGCGCATTAATTTTAATTGGCAGCTTCAACTAGACTTGAGATTATGATTATATGAATCTTTATTTCGATACTGGCTGCACATCTTCACCGCTAGCCACATGTGCAAAAAGAGCCAGTATAATAGATAATAAGTATGTCATTCTCATGAGTACACACTGCTGCATGAAGGCCAATAGGAGGCACGAAGACATGAGACCAATAAACTGTAGACCTCAATATTATGATATTAGGCAGAGGGAGGCAAGTGATCAGCTTCAGGGGTTTCTTTCGATCTCTGTTTGGTAATCACTGTGTAAGGGGATAGGAGATGATAAATTATGTTCTTATATGAAGAGACACAAGAAAATAACTACATGTTTGGTTCATAAATGGATTGGCTAATGAGTACACAGTAAAATGGTGACCCACTTGACACTTTTAAGACTTTCAACCCTTGCACATAATTACAAACCGGTGGGGTCCATTGAAAGATGGCTGTTATGTAAGAATGGGCTTTAGGTTAATCCATAGAGCTCAGAAGATGAAGGTACTCTGAAATATCATACTGACACTATTCTGTCAGTTATTCTAAATAACCTGATTCTAAGCAAAATATTCCTCATCTCACACAATCTGCTCTGTCACATAGAAAACCCCGAATTTCATGTCCCAGACAACCATGTTTGCTTTTAATCTTCTTACTGTCTTCTCTCTCTTTTGCAGGCCAGTTTGTATTCGGCGCCAAAGCTGTGGATGCTGATGAGGGCTCTAACAGTAGAGTGGCTTTTTCTTTGGGTGGAGAGGACTCTTCTTTGTTTTCCATAGACCGTGACACTGGCGTTGTAAAAGCTGCTCGAGAACTGTCAGGAGCAGGCGGACGTGGGCGAGAATTCCGAGTGCAGCTTCGGGCTCGTGATGGAGGCAGAGAAGCCAAGACAGCTACAGCTGAGCTCACAGTTCAACTGCGTCCTTCAGGGCTCTTCCCAAGCCTCACTGCACCTCGGGAAACCAAGTTCTCTCTTCCAGAGGATGTTGCGGCAGGGAAGGTCATCACACAACTTGGTGCATCATCCCCCAAACCACTACCAACCGGCGAGATTCGCTTTGCTATTGCTGGCGGCAATGTCGGAGATGCTTTGAGAATTGATCCAAATACTGGTGAAGTACTCGTTGCAGGTGGAGGGCTGGATTTTGAAACAGCACCTCAGTACATCGTGTGGGTTGAAGCACAGGACTCTGATGTCCCACCACTCCGTAGTGTCTTACAGCTTGTTATCAATGTGACAGATGCTAATGACAATGCCCCAGTAATGGAGAATGCCATGTACAATGCCAGTATCATTGAGGAAGAACCTCCTCCACAGAAAGTGCTACAAGTTAGGGCCACTGATGCTGATTCTGGAACTAATGGACAAGTCACATATCGTCTTGTAAATGACGAGAATGGCGCTTTTGAGATGAACTCCGAAACTGGTGAAATATACACCAATGCTCGCCTCGACAGAGAGAGTGTGTCAAGCTACCAGCTCATTGTAGAGGCCATGGATCACGGTCCTCCTCAGCTCACAGGCAGTTCTACTGTTGTGGTCACAGTCCTGGACAAGAATGACAACCCTCCACGATTTACACGGCTCTTCAGTGTCAACGTTACAGAAAATGCAGAACCAGGTGCTTTTGTGATTAAGGTTACAAGTTCTGATTTGGATATCGGAGAAAATGCAAATGCAACATATAGCTTCACTGAAAATCCTGGAGAGAAATTCTCTATCGATCCCACTACGGGTAACGTGACTGTTGCTGGCCCATTGGATAGAGAGGCACAGGATGAGTATCTTCTCAAGGTTGCAGCAGTTGACGGGGCTTGGCGTGCTGAGACACCACTAACGATTACTATCCAGGACCAAAATGACAATGCACCAGAGTTTGAGCACTCATATTATAGCTTTAATTTCCCAGAGCTTCAGCGTAGCATTGTGTTTGTGGGCCAGGTATCAGCGGCTGATAGGGACAAACAGGGTCCAAACTCTGTCATCTCATATTCACTGCAACATCCATCTGATCTGTTCACTGTTGATCCTGCGAGTGGTGAGCTGTTCTCCAAGAGATCTCTCCGGTATAAACATACAGCACTGGAGCCATCTCCAGAGAACCAGTACATCCTCACTGTGATGGCTACTGACAATGGAAAGCCACCCATGTCCTCAGAATGTTTGGTAACTGTCAATGTGGTGGATGCAAACAACAATGCTCCAAAATTTGAGCAGGCAGAATACTTCACTCCGGTTCCAGAAAGTGCTGTAGCAGGACAACAGGTAACTGCATTTAAAAATCTCATGTTACATGTATCTTAATACTTTTCATAATTTTGTGACCTTCATTACACTGACAACCCAACAACAGTGTAGGGTCAGAGACTGTATGGCAATGGTTGTTCAGATTTTGGTCTTCTAGGCTATGCAGTCTTATAGGGACAAGGGAGAGTCAGTAAATTGCTCACAAATGCCAGAAAAACAGCTGTAATGGGCATAATAGGTTTTGTGAGTATAACACTAAATGGCAGAACAGTCCAGCTTCATGACAGTCTAGGTAACAGTGTGCATGCACATGTTCAGAGGCTGGTTTCAGTAGTCAAAATGAAGACCATGCTTGAGGGGTGTACTACCAGAGAGCAGCATTCTGCTGTGCGTTTTCTGTGGGGAAAGGGCTCAGTGCAAAGGATATTCATAAAGAAAGGTTTCCTGTTTACAGTGGGAAGGGTTTGTTACATAAAGCAGTTCACAGCTGGGTTGAGAAAGGTGGCAATGTATTTTGCTGATGACAAAGAGGTTGAAACAGAGGTGCAGAAGTGGCTGAGACAACAGTTGAAAATCTTCTGTGCTGAGGGCTTCAGCACACTAGTAAAGCAGTGGGACAAATGTTGGAGGATATGTCAAGAAATAAATATTTTTTGTAGGTTCAAATATCACATGTTTTATATTTTATAACTGTTTGTGACCTGTTTACTGACACTCCATTTAAGATACCAGCATTTCAGAAGAAAGTACTGCCTCCGCTTTCAGGGTTAAAATGTGTATTGTTAGGATGTAGTTAAGTTATATATGCAAGCTGCAAAGGGGTGGTTACTGACCTCTGCAGTAAGGGAGAGGGGCTAGACCCTCGACTGGAAGGCTTAGTAGACTGAAATTACTCCCCACCCCACTATTTGGGGGTGGAGTCCAGCTGGGTCCACTTGGCACGGGGGCCACTGATTGACCTATTGTACCTGTACTGCCTGATTATGATGATGGAGAATTTGGCAGAATGAAGATTCACAGGGGAAACTGAAGTACTTGGAGAAAACCCGCCCCAGCGCCACTTTGTCCACCACAAATCCCACTTAACCAGACCCGGGATTGAACCCAGGCCACCACAGTGGGAAGCCAGCGATTAACTGCTTGAGCTTTGGCGCCGCCTTTGAAACTACTTAATCTTTGAGGAACAATATGAAATTATGTTACATTATATATTACATTATGACCACAGTGCAAAATTAAAAAGGACTGCCATGCATAGGGCTGGAATGCCTTTGTTCGTTCAATATATGGCTTAAGAACAGAAGATAATATACAAGTAATATTTCACATCATATGAAAATAGTTCTATCAGCACTGCACTAATGTATATGTATATGTAGAATGATCATTTTTATATGGGTATAGGGTGCTGTTTCTGTACTCAAGTAGAACTGAGAAACTTGACACTTATTGCTTCAAATCATGTGTCAAATAATGCATTGTTTCAGTTTTGATAAAATGTTACTAACACAGAGGGATTCTCCATTTATAGGTATTACTGAAATCCATGTTAACATTTTAGCCTTGATAGTGGAGTTAAAGAGATGTGCAGAGTGTTCATAAAGTCCCTGCCTATTTTTCTATTATGCAAATTACAAATTGATTTTATGATGGTTCCAGGCTTTTGAAATTTTCTTTCAAACTTTTTGTGATTTTGCTCTTGGATTTGAAATGATAATACTATCACATGTTTCTGTTAACTGATTATCGATTATGATCTGGAACACAAAATAAAAACTACTGTCATCTAGTAAATTGCATAGGGACTTCAAGGATATTCTGTGTATATACTTGTTGGTTCTTCTGCAGGTTATCCGGGTGACAGCAAAGGATGAGGCAGACTTTGGTGTGAATGCAGAAGTGGAGTATGTGAAAATTGGTGGCAATGGTTCTGAGCTGTTCAGTGTGGGGAAGACAACCGGCTGGGTGTCAGTGGCGGGTTCTTCCCTCGCTGGCAGGCTGCTGGAGACATACACCTTAGTTGTGAGGGCAGTAGACAAGGGTGTCCCACCCCAGAGTGATCAGGCTGTCATCACACTTGTCATAACAGGGGAGAATCGATACAGTCCCGTGTTCACAACCCTCAGCTACCAGGTGAATAATAATGATTGCTATATATGAATGTTTTTGTGATTGAAATGGCTTCTGAGAATTAGGCATGTGTTCCAGATGAGTAGAAATGCCTGGGGGAATGGCCATTACATATAAAATAAATTATTTCCATTCAGATTCCATAATTTATTTCTGTATCTATCATTATAGGGTATGATAGTTATGACATGTTCAGACACTGGAAATTGTTATGTCATATGAAGCTCTCTGATACTAAGTAGATAATGTCTTCCTCTGCAGATTTTCAGCTATGATATTACAACAACAGCAGCACCTGTAGTGCTAATATCATTTCATTTCCTTATTTTTGTGCCATAAAGGATTGTGTCTCATGTATTTTATACTCCCTTATACCTTAATATTTTGATTTATGGGACCAAACAGAATGGCTCAAGCCACTTAACTTGTATCCAGGACACCGATCATCCTGAGGTTATCTGTTTTTTCCTTGGTCCTTCCAGGTGAAAGCAAAGATATCCTCTTTTCCACAGCCTTTCCAATTCATTTTTCATTATCATTTAAACATTTAATGCTGCATAGGCTTAGTTACTAATAGTATCATTAAATAAGCTACAAATAATTGAAATGAAAATGTGTTGTGTGGTTCTGTCAGCATTATGATGCTGAAGGAATTTCACAGACAAAAATGTATGTTAAAATGCCATAGCAGAAATATGAATTACCTAGTATGGGTGTGATGTCACAATACTATTAATATTCCTGGTTAGGAATCAGTACAAGTTTGTGTACACATAGCACACAGATAATTTTTAGGAATGGATTTCTGTGCTTGACAGAGTATAGATATATAGGTTGCCTAGTTTCCAAATGATGGGATATTATGGTTTAAACGAGGAACTGAGAGCAAAACTCTACTGACTTTACTGGAGTTTCAGTTGAACAATGGTAAATTCCTACCAGACTGCATGGCATCACATCCCACAAGATGATGCTCCTCATACCCACTGCTGGGAGAACCTCAGATTTCACAACAGTAATATACTTGTGCAGTGTCTCTATGACGCTTAATAATTTATAAACCAGAAGTTTGGAAAATGATTTAAAATAACCCATCACATCTGTCTGCATGAATTACAAGATTACTTTCGCCAAACTACAGTCAGGCAGGTTAGTTCGGCACTAACGTACTTGACTTGTATTCAGTATATACTGAGTTTGATTCTCGTGTAGTGCACAGACTAGCCTGACTGAAGGTTCCCACAGTTCTTCCGGCCAAACACGAAAAAGGAAATGTATTTACTCTCTTGGCCTTTCTAGGTCTTCATAAATAACACTGATGTCTCATTTGATGTGAAATAATGCTTGCAGCTCATACATACTTATTAAATGACAAATCAAGTTATTGCTGTGCTTAATTAATTGAGCACAATACCATGAATATGTACGGGGGACTGGAGATATAGCTCTGTCATTCTTGACCTTGGCACTAGATGGAGGTGCGTAGTCAGTTTCATGCCCCTGCCATTTTACCCCTGAGTAAGAGCACCTGGTGTCCATTGTATAGGAGGCTGTCTGAGCCCCAGAGCTGGTCAGGATGGTGTGAAGAAGAGAAATATCTTGCCCTTGCCAGGAATCAGACCTCAGCTATCTAGCCCATGGCTATTCGACTGAGTGGTGATTTGTTAAATAGATGATGAATTACTAGAATTACTGGGTTTGGACTTTGTACTTCTTCCAGTATTCTACAAACTAGAAAACACCATTTTTCAGAAACTATATCTGTTTCCTTCCTCAGGTGAAGGGGGGAAGACTACCTATCCCTTTACCTGAGGATGGAAACAGATCCTTTTTCTGAAACGTTGCATTTTCTGGTTTCTAGAATACCGGATGATGGACAAAGTCCAAAAACCTGATAATTCTGAGTGTTATACAGCAGAATCTAGATGATGAAGTAGCTTATTGGGTAACATTTTTCGGAGCTGCATACGTCAGTTGAAATTAATACATCATAAAATACATTAGAAATTATTTGATCCCTTGTTAACATAACTGTTGGCCACGTTTTCATTAAATTCTCCATTTGTTACCAAATTTTATCAAAATACACCGTTCTTTTTTTTATATCATAATAATTTCATGGGGGGGATTTTATCTCTATAAACTTCCCATCACATGAAATAGACGTGCGTAATTTACATTTCTTTTGTTTCTTCAGGTAATTGTTCCAGAAAATGAACCGCTTGGAGCCACTATCGTTACCATGACTGCTGCAGATGGTGATGAAGGGCCAAATGGCATCGTGCGATATTCAATCTCAAGTGGCAACGAAAGAGAAGAATTCCATGTGGAGCCTGCCACCGGTGCCATCACTATTCACCAACCATTGGACTATGATACAGTTCCAGAATATCGCCTCAACATCACTGCTTCTGACTTAGGCTTTGAACCACGTCATGCAATAGCTATGCTCACCATCACCCTCACAGATATTAATGACAATGCCCCTGTTTTCAACCAAACATCATATGAGGCATTCTTACCAGAAAATTCTCCACCACACTCAACAGTTTATCGTGTACAAGCACATGATATTGATTCAGCCAAAAATGCTATAATTCAGTACTCCATTGTAGGTGGAAGTGGTAAAGATGTCTTTACAATCGAGCCAAAAACAGGTGCGATCTTGTCCAAGACGAGTTTTGATTATGAAGAGCAAAATGTGTACATTGTTGATATATTGGCTGCCAATCCAGATTCACCCATGTATGGCTCAACGAAGGTTGTTGTTCACATCACTGGAAAGAATGAGTTCTATCCAAGATTCATGCAGCCAGTTTTCCATTTTGACGTATCTGAGTCTGCTGAGGTTGGCACCAGTGTCGGTATGATTCAAGCTACAGATCAAGATGCCGGATATGATGGTGTAGTGTTTTACTTATTTGTTGGTTCCAGCAATGATCGTGGCTTCAGCATAGGAGCAGAAACAGGCGTGATCAAGGTATCACGAAGATTGGACAGAGAAACTCAAAATCGCGTAGTGCTGACCGTGATGGCAAAGAATGCTGGTGGTATAAGGGGTAACGATACAGATGAGGCCCAGGTAATAGTGTCAATTCAGGATGGGAATGATCCTCCAGAGTTTCAGGAAGCTGTGTATGATGCTGTGGTGTCTGAAGGTGCTTCACCAGGCACCAAAGTCATCACTGTGAAAGCAGTTGATAAGGATGTAAGACCACAGAACAACCAGTTTTCATATTCTATCATTGGTGGAAACCAGGGACATGTATTCAAAGTTGATCCAGCAACTGGTGATGTTGAAACCACTCTGCAACTAGACAGAGAGACTGTTCCTGCATACACTCTGACCCTGGGAGCTATTGACACAGGTTCGCCACCACAGACTGGGACAACTACTGTCAGAATTGCTGTGCAGGATATTAATGACAATGGCCCTTTGTTTGATCCACCTGAAGTGATAGGTTATGTGACAGAAAATGAACCGCCCAACACCAGTGTAATGACTTTGAGTGCAACAGACCCTGATCTGCCACCAAATGGGGCACCTTTCACATACCAGCTTGTTGGAGGGCGCCAGAAAGACTTGGTGATTGTGGAGAAGCAAAGTGGTGTTATCAAGACAACAAGAAGTATTGATCGAGAAACAACGCCCAGGCTTGACATACTGGTAAGTGTGCAAATGGGTCTGCTATTTTCTTATTGCTTCAGGTTTTTTAAATTACTTGTAGCTGCTTTTGAATCAGATTTGTCATCTTCCATTCTGCTGGGATTCGTTTCTACTAAGATTAGAAACATAGTTCTTGTAAGCAATAAATCAGAAATGACAAGTGTGCGAGAAAGGCTTTCCCTTCATTGAAATTTATGTGCTTGCAAAAAATAACTGCTTCAAAGGAGTCAGATCTGTAAAAGTATATGACTGTTACAAAATGTTTCACAGTGGCTAATCATAAGTCCTGTCATAGAAGAATTTCTCTCTTTTGAATAATTTATGGAAATAGCAACTCAGATGATTACCTGCACATAATGTGTCATGTTTTGACATACATCATTATCTTGAATGTATCTTCTTATTACCAGTTTCTGGTCAATGATAGAACTCTTATTGCTTTTAAGAAGAATTTTCTTCCTGTGTATAAGGAATGTTAGCATAGTATTAATGTCAGCATACACTCAATGGAATGTGTAATTATGTTTGTGGTACTGATGTATGTTGTACAACAGGAAATCATTACCAAATCACCAAGACAGCATGACAAAATGCTGATCTCTCCTCTGCATCTCTTGTGCTGGTGTTAATGATGTGTGATAGCATGATTCATAATGAAGCACATTGACACATTTACTTTAACCTTATTCTCATATGTCACAAATCCAAAGTTCAGAGTTTTATTAGTGTCCACTGGTCTCTACATCTCATGGCCAGAAGATACCCTGAACTAATATTTTCAAGCTTGTTTTAAATTATCACAAATAACAATTGTGATGTAGAACATTTTGAGTTTTGGTTTATATAATGAAACTTTTTAAATTGCGTGTGTTATGTCACAATTGACCGCCTCTGTGGTCTAGTGGTCAGAGTTCCTGGCTACAGATCCAGAGGTCTTGGTTCGATTCCTGGTGCCACCAGATTTTCTGAGAAGTAGTGGGTCTGGAACAGGTTCTATTCAATCTTATGAAGATAATTGAGGAGCTATTTCAAGGAAGTATTGACTCCAGTCTAGAAAACCGAAATTAACAGCCATGGGGATTTGTTGCGCTGACCACAAGACACCCTCTATCCCCTAAAGTTGGCACTAACTTCGCCGACAAGCAGTGGTCGCTCAATCGGTATAGTTTGCTTGCAGACTGAAACCATGGAGTTTGTTTTGTTTTATGTGTTATGTCACGTCAGACTGGAATGATTAGTGAACGATTAATTTTGATGGTATGTCTTAGGAAGTGGTCATGGCTTATTTTAAGATACTGCCACAGCTTTTGCCTAGGTACCAAAGAATATCACAAACAGAATAGTTAGCCTCCAGTTCAACATTCAACTTGAGGTCTCCCAAATAACCACTAAAGCAAGTATCTTTAAAAAGTATTATATAAATTTATAGATTAATTTTCAGCAAAGATATTATCATGGTAATAATGCTCTTTGTAATGATATTACATTTGTGAGTAACTGACACTGAATTATACTATTCGTTATTTCAGGTTGAAGTAGAGGACAGTGGCGAACCTCGCATGAAGTCACAGCATCCTGTCACCATCTTGGTGATGGACCAGAATGACAGCCCTTCCACACCTCGAGCCGTCCGTGTCCTAGTCCACACTTTCAACGATGCGTTTCCAATAGGGAAGATAGCTGACGTTCATCCAAATGATGCCGATACTTCGGGTGAATACCACTGCAAGATTCTGTCTAGTACTCCACCGCCTAGAGGCATCCTCACAATCCCGTCTGGTTGTGACCTTCACACTTCCAAGGTTACACCAGGATCTGGACATTCCCTGAGCATATCTGGGAATGATGGGAGGCATCCAGATGTGGTCTCTACTGTAACTGTAGAGTTTATTTCCTTTGACAACTCTACAGTTGAACACAGTGTGACTCTTCGATTGGAGAATATAACTGCTTCTAAGTTCCTGACCCATTTCTACAAGGGCCTTCTTGATGTGCTCAAATCTACATTTGGGCCTGGTGATACTGTATATTTGTACAGCCTACATGAAGCTGACAGTGGGCTGGAGTTATCAGTAGCTGCACAGAGTCCTAAAGGCTATCGTAGTAAGGCTCAGCTGTTGGAAATGCTTGGTAAGAAAAGAGCCACTATGCAGCATCTTCTTCAGTCTGCTGCCATCACTGTTGGTTTCACGCCGTGCCAGAAACTGACCTGTGAGAATGGAGGTCAGTGTAGTGATGGGATTCTTGTGCATAGTGAGACCAGAATCACTGACAGCCAGACAGTTGTGTTCACATCTCCCATGGTGAGCCATGACTTCATGTGCCGCTGTACAGATGGATTTGTGGGGAAACGGTGTGACAGAAGGCAAGACCCATGCTCTCCAAATCCTTGTAGAGCTAATGGAACTTGTAGACGCCAAGGATTTGATTTCCAATGTGTTTGTCCACCTCTTCGGGAAGGAAAACTTTGTGAGCTGGAACGTGGTGATGTTTGTGATGGGAACCCATGCTTGAATGGTGGTTCTTGCCGCGAGAGTCCTGATGGCTCGAGCTTCTTCTGTCTCTGCCGGCCTGGATACCGAGGGAACCAGTGCGAAGCTTCAGCTGATTCCTGCAGACCAAACCCATGTCTGCATGGTGGTTTGTGCATCAGCTTGAAACCAGGATACCGTTGCAGCTGCCCTGAAGCCAGATATGGCCGTCACTGTGAAAGGTCAACTTTTGGATTCAATGAACTTTCATTTATGACCTTCCCATCCCTGGATGCTGGTACAAATGACATTTCTGTGGTGTTCGCAACAACGAAGCTGGATGCATTGCTGGTGTACAACTTCGGAGCTCAGACAGGTGGGAGGTCAGACTTCGTGGCCCTTGAGCTTGTTGCTGGCCATGCAGTGTTCTCATATGGTGCAGCTCGCACTGCAATCACTTCTGTGATGGTGAACGGCGGCTCGTTGGCTGATGGTGAGTGGCATAAGGTGACTGCAACCCGCAATGGACGTGTTGTGTCGCTGAGTGTGGCATCCTGCACAGAGCACGGAGATGTCTGCAAGGAGTGTCGGCCTGGGGATGCTTCATGCTATGCTGATGATGTTGGACCAGCAGGGTGAGTGAATTCTGAAACAAGAATTTATTTAGATACAAATGTAATGATCATTGAAAATTCATTGCAAAGAATCTCTTCATTTCTTACATTACTAATTGCTATTCATTGGTGTCTTTTGAGGTAATCTGCTTTGTCAATATGGAATTGATGCCTGGAGTTTTAGAAACTGTCTCTGTCTTCATCCTTAGGGACTGATGTGATGAGTGTTCTGTTTGCATGCTATATTACTACACAAAGCTACCACTGCCCATCCAGGGCCTCACGGGAGAACAATGAATGAACTCTGATGGTCAGTGATGTCCTATCCCAGCAGGGACAGCATGGAGGAACATTTGGTTGTTCAGTTGAGTTCATGTTGCTAGTCACTGGTCTTTCTTTTCAATGTTTCCTAAGTTCTCTCATATGTTCTATTATGTTCACGACCAGGTACCGTGAATGATTTATTGGGATTGTCATATCTCTGTTAAAGTTATGGGGGTGCAGCCAGATCTCAATGGGCCTCCATAACTGACTGGTCCATGCAGCTTGTCACTCTTATATTATTGTGTCTTTGAAGAACTGAATAAGCTTGAGTGACACATGGTACTGATAGGAACGACAGGCTACATGGACTGCATACTTAAGGAATCCATTGAGATTAACCTTCACCCTGATAACTTTAGCAGAAATATAAGCTGTCCCTTAAGCCAATCATAGTATCTAGCCATGAACATAATATGCAAATAATAGAGATTAAGTAACATTGTAAGAAAGGACTGATGACTAGTCACATGAATTCAGATGACTGACAAGACTGTTCCACACTGGCTCCATGTAAACCAGTAATAATAACAGATAATACTATGACTAACGTAAATATTCTTCAGCATGATGCATCAGTCCTATATACATGACTGCAGGTTAAGCAGTTCCCTACCTGTTTTAGAACCTGACGGTTCAGTAACACATTCACAAGTGACTTCAGTATGTAGATAATGATTGTTGCAGCTCATCAGGTGACAGATTTTGATTTCAGTTTCAACTAGAAATATTTTCCTTTTTGACGAGTTGTTTATTGTCCATGCTTTACAGATATATTAATATTTCTTGCAGGACACTCAATTTCAACAACCAGCCAATGTGGGTTGGAGGTCTTGCCTCTGCAGATGCGATCCTTGAGCGACCTGGGCAGGTTCACTCTGATGACTTAGTGGGCTGTGTGCATAGTGTCTCAGTGAATGGAAGAGCTTTGAATTTGAGCAATCCTCTACGTTCCCGGGAAGTCGACCCAACCTGTGGTAGATCCACTGGTCGCAGTCCATGCTCTGCACCTGAGAACACAGTGCTAGAAATAGCTCCATGTGGGCCCATGGGTTCCTGTCTGGACCGCTGGAAAACCGTTGCTTGTGTCTGCCCCAGTATTGGGCCACGTAAGTAAACAGGTGGAGGGTTAACTTAACTACCTAATGTCCATGCAACAGGAACAGGTAATCAGGTTTTGAAAGTGAAAGGAATGGAATATCTGTAAACTCCACATGAGGGCAGATTCAAGCAGGTGGAGAGTGAAAAATGTTACATAACAAAGATATATGTAATTCATATGGTTCACCTAATATTATTACAGGAGTAAAACCTGAAACATTCCAATGGTGTTGGGGAAACCGAAATTTGTGCAAAATTATAATCTAAGAAATTGGCTACTTAGAAGATCAAGAAAGCACTGGAAGAATTATAACAAATTGTTCAGTTGGAGATGCGCTGGTGTGTTGTGAATTAAATTGAACTGTATCAGGATTCTGTTTGGTGGTCAGCTTTGATATTAGTGTCTTCTGTTGGTATACTGTGGTCAGGAAAAGAATGGACACATTTCATTCATTCATTATTAGAGGGGTTGGGTTTCCCCATGCACTTAGACCAGTTATTGGTCCATTGTGCGTCCCCCTTTAATTTCTGCTGTCCCCATACCCTACCGGTACTGGTGCTTTGCTATCAGCCCCACTTTGCCAGCGAGGTCGGCCCTCTTCTGGCACGTGGTACCTGATGCTTCAGTCCCACTTTGCCAGCGAGGTCAGTCCTCTTCTGGCATGTGGTAGCTGATGCTTCCCCCATCTACCAGAGGCATTGGAAACTACTTGGGTGGGAAACTTTTTGCCTAATTTAGCTCAGAGATCTCCTAGAGACATGAGGATCTTTTACGTGCCGTAAATCAACGACACGGGACACACGGCTTAAAGTCCCTCCCGGAGGACTTGTTCCTTGAATTTTTCCACCCTTAAAAATTCCACGACCTCCGCCGGGTTTGAACCTGTGGACCCTGAGTCATGAGGTGGGAACGTTACCCCTAGACTACGGAGGCCGCTAAGAATGGACACGGTGGTTGATTAATTCAGCCACCTGCTCCCCAGTGCTGCCTACATTGGTCATTCCACCTCTATAAACATAAGTAAAAAACCAAGAACACAAAGACAGTAGTTACAATACAGTTTAATATATGTCATAACTACTGTTGTACTGTTTACATTAATTTAAATTCAAAGATATGTTTTATGGAACTATTTTTTTAATCATGTTTTGGCCATATATGGCCATCATCATGGTTGTCCAATAAGAGGATACTTCACATTAATTTGACAACAATTATTTAGATGTTGTTCACAGAACCATGCTTAAAATACTACTAACAGTAAAATTAGAATAATTTAAGAAGACAATAAAGTGTAAATGTAGATTGATTCATGTTTCATGTGGAATAATACAGGAAGACAAAAGAGTGTAAGAACAGTATCATATACATCTCCTGTGGCTCCTGTTAGACTAATAACTGACAACTGATGAAAGTGGAGAGGGCGCATGAAAGGAAGTATCTGCTAGAGAGATGGATGAGAAGGAATCTGCATTAATTCTTTCCATAGAGAATTAAGTTTAATTAGCTGAGTGTAGTAGAGCAAGTGTATATGGACCTTAATATATTATTCAGCCAGTGTAGTAATAAATCTTTATGCTTCCAGGATCCAATGGACGCCTTGTGGCACCTGATTGTCGTGAATCTCTCCAGCCTATAAGCCTTGCAGAAGGAGCATTTCTTGAGTATCGAGTTTCAGACAAACATCGACGTATGCAGTTATTAGAGTCAATTTATCAGGGATCTACATTATGGAGAGAAGTTCTGCCAGGGAAATCCAAGAACACTCAGAGTTCACCACCTGCTAAGAGTCTCAGTATTATGTTCAGGACAGTGCAAGCTGATGGATTGCTTGTCTATACTGCCACTAATAATGACTTCACATCTTTAGAGGTATCCATATTTTGATTTAGTGTTCACAAATGTGTCTTTAGCACATATTTTCCATCATTTAATTTCTGTATACTGAAGCACAGAATGATCTGAGTTCTTCAACACTACTTTTTCTTGCTACTTTAGCTGAATTAACATGTACCTCTAGTACATCAATTAATGTGCCTAAGTCCATCTACTCTATAAACCAAGCTATGTCATATCTTGTGTGCATCAGTTAATGTACTTAAGTCCCTCTACTCTATAAACCAAGCTATGTCATATCTTGTGTGCATCAGTTAATGTACTTAAGTCCCTCTACTCTATAAACCAAGCTGTCATATCTTGTGTGGGTGACTTCATGGACAGAAAGTCCTGTATATGTTTCGATTTCCCACCACCATATGAATATTGGAAATATCTTGAAAATGAAATCTAGTAACATTCTAATGTGACATGATGATCGGTGTCACTAACTGGCAATGACACGCCTTTCTTCCCATAGTAGAGGGTAGTCAAGTCAAGAAATTCGCTGTAATTTATGCAATCTCAAGATTCTTAACCATTTTTCAGGAACTCACCATTCATCCCTATCCTGAGCCAGATGAACCCATTACCCACCCTCTTAGCCTGTTTCTTCTGAAGATACATTTTAATACTACCCTCATATCTATGCATAGGACTTCTGAGTGTTTTCTTTCCTTCATATTATGAGACCCAGATTCTGGGTGTTTTTCTCATTGCACATGTGTATTCTACATGCCCCACTGATTTCAGCTTCCTTCAGTTGGTCACCCTGGTAATATTTGGTTAAGAGTAAAAATTATGAAGCTCCTCATTCAGCTTTCTCAGCTTCCTATCTCTTGCTCCACATCTTGTTCTGTGCTTTCAGTCTGTGATTTTCCCTTAATGTGAAAGATCAAGTTTCACAGGCAATTAAAAAAGCATGTAACATTATAGTTTATATTAAACCGGGACATAAGAGAATACTGCATTGTAGGCTTGTAATAGGTAATTTTATTTGACCGTTTTTCTAAAACAAAGTCTGGAAGGAAGGTCCAGTTTATTTACTAGAGTATCATTTTAACATTTTTAATGCTTTATTGCCATGACTTCAGTAGTAATAAATACCAACTAAAACATTTTTTTCATAAAGCATAAAAAATAATAATTTTGCTTGTTTCATTTCATTTGTGATATTGTATTTTTCCGTGATTTTCTTGTGAAGTAATGCAGATTGCTGTTAAGAGTAATATAAATTTTATTTAACTGACAATTTTGAGATAGCTTATATGCTTATGAGGTACAAATATCCACAGTTTATTCCACTGAACCATAATGGTAAGTATTAGTAACTATGTTAGTCCCATTTTAGTTATCAAGTACAGTACACAGATTCAAACACATGAGGAGTAACTCTGAATAACTTTGCTGCAGCTTCGAGGTGGAAAGTTGGTGTACGTGTCACGACTGGGGGCCACACGGACACCAGTCAATATGACTGTGACACCACCATCTGACAAAACTAACAGTGGTGGATTGGCTGATGGGAATTGGCACAATGTAACTCTAACTTCTCACAACCGTGGGCTCCGACTTCTACTTGATGGTGTTCGAGTTGGAGATGAACTGGATCTAGCTGGAGTACACGACTTCCTAGATCCGTACCTCACTGTTGTCTTCTTAGGAGGGATAAAGAGGGAACTATTTACTATCCAGGATTCAGCTCCAGTCTGTAAGTGTACACATCCATGAAACTGTCAGGACAAGGGATGAAAGTCTTCTTTGTTTCTTATTTTATTAGCTTCAAAATACATAATATAAATGTTCATGTTAACATGGCAATACATTTTCATAAAAATATTTATACTGGCAGGTGAGAGGAGACTTGGAATGCATAATATTCTGTTTTAATAAATTATTCATTTGAGATTTCACTGGACCCACTCAGCAATCATAATTAACACCATGCCATTGAATCCGTCTTTAGAATCATTGTGTTTTTCAACTTTTTCTCATTTGATGCTCTAAAGAATACTAAGAGAACAGTGTTTCAGAAACTGGATCTGTTTCCATCATAAGGGGGTGGGGAGAAACTACTTTATTGGGTCCCTTAGAAAGAGCTATCCCCAATCACTGGAGGTGAGGTTAGAGGTTAGCTCTTTCTAGTGGACCCAACAGAGTAGGGGTCTCCTCCCCTGACCTGAGGACAGTAACAGATCCAGTTTTTGAAACATTGTATTCTTCAGTATTTTCTGGAATGTCAGTTGGTGGACAAAGTCCAAAAACACAGTGATTCCAAGTGTTTTATGCCATCGTCAGAAACTTTAGGAATCCACCTTCTTGTGAAGTTCAGAGCTGATTAACTGTTAAGAAATCCCCAGCATTTATGGAACCCAAAATTTCATTACCATGTTCACAAAAGCCTACCACTGCTTCCTATCCTGAGTCTGTTGAAACCAGTTCCCACCTTCTGATCCTATTTATGTAAGACCAATTTTATTAGTATCCTCATATCAGTACCTAGGTCTTCCTAATAGTCTCTTTCCTTCAAGTGTTCATACCAAAACATTGGATACAATTCAGCAATCCTAATTTAGTAAATATGTACATGAAAATAGAACGATATCATGCACTGCTAATATCAAAACACATCTCTATGTTTCAGTATTTGAAGGCTGCATTGCCAACTTCAGCATTAACGATGAAGTACAGCCATTCAATGGGTCTGGCAGTATCCTGTCAGAGGTACTGCAGTATGGAAAGATCAGCACAGGCTGTTCTGGCTCTGTGGGAGGTGTGAGCGCTGCTGCAGCCCCGGATCCTCTCAGCATAGGGATCACTCTTGTCATCGTATTCTTTGTCATCCTCCTGGTTGCCATACTTGTCAGTTTTGTTGTCTTCCGACTGCGACGACAGAAGAAAGAGAAAGGCGATGGTCCAGGGGGTAGTCCAGGTGCTGCAAAACAGAATGGAAATATGACTCTAGTAGCCGGTGGCGGTGTTAATGTTTCTAATGGTGGGGGTGATTCTCGTGAAGGTCCACCTAGTTTCCTGTCAGAGACCAGTGATGTTCTGAGGGGTGGCCATCATCTTGTTGCACCAGAGCTGATATCTAAGAAATACAAAGAACGAGAAATTGTTGGTACGGAAATGAGGCCTCAGAGACCTGATATAATAGAAAGGGAAGTTGTAAGCAAGTCCCTACCACAGCACCCCCCTCTCCCACCTCCTGGCACTGCGTCACAGAGTCAAGGACAGCCTCACCACCCACATGAGCAGACCCAACCTTCTAGTGGAGGTGTAGACTTAGAGGTACCAGAACATTATGACCTGGAGAATGCAAGTTCCATAGCACCCTCTGACATAGACATTGTATACCATTATAAGGGTTACCGTGAAGGGGGCAACGTTAGGAAGTATAAAGCTACACCGCCTCATCTACCACCCAGTGCTGGAGGTAGTGGTGGTGGGGGTGGTGGAGGAGGTCCAGTGGCAAGTTACCATCACAAGCACCAAGCATCGGCACAGCAACAGCAGCATCGGCACTCGCCACATCACTTCCCACCAGGAACACGGTCAGTTGTACCACCACCTCCAGCCTCCAGGGTAGATTCTCCACCAAGTACTGGTGCTGGAGGCAGCTCTAGTGGAGGTGGGAAACTGCTTCAGAGCACTCCCTTAGCACGCCTCAGCCCCAGCTCAGAGCTGTCAGCTCAGCAGACTCCAAGGATCCTGACACTGCAGGATATCAGTGGGAAGCCACTGCAGTCAGCCCTTCTGGCCACCACATCATCTTCTGGTGGGAAGGATGCCAGCGAGAGGAGCCTCAATAGCCCAGTCATGAGCCAGCTGAGTGGGCAGAGCTCAGCGGCAAGTCGTAAGGCAGGCCCTGGTGGAGGTGTCGGTGCTGGTGATGGGGGATCTGGCGGGGCAGTGGGACTCACTGCAGAGGAGATAGAGCGACTCAATTCCCGGCCACGAACATCCAGCCTTGTCAGTACCTTGGATGCTGTTTCCAGCTCCAGCGAAGCTCCACGTGGACGAAGGTTACTGGAATCAGGGGCTGGACCTCCGCCGCCAGTTGTCCATCATCTCAACCACCTGCACCATACTGCTGCAAGTGCAGATCCACTTCTGGAGAACCACAGCTCAACCACAACAGATGAGAGTGGAAATGACTCTTTTACCTGCTCTGAGTTCGAGTACGATAACAACACAAACTCGGAGAACACAAGTAATGCCAAACGTGGCGAAGCCATGTTTGGTGCCTCAGGGAAACTGCCTCTAACAGAGGCAGACAATGAAGAGAGACGGGGTGCAGAGAGTGGGGGTGCAACTGGAAGTGGAAGCAAACCTCCCATACCACCTGTACCTACATCCTATGACGGTTTTGATTCCTCATTCCGTGGCTCCCTAAGCACCCTTGTCGCATCGGATGACGACCTCTCAACGCATATGGGAGCACCAATCTACAGGCCCCACAATGGTTCTCCATCGGCAGGAGCAGCCATTGGTTGGGATTATGTCTTAAATTGGGGGCCCAATTTTGAAAGTCTTGTGGGTGTCTTCAAGGACATTGCAGAGCTTCCAGACTCAGTGAACAGCCGTGTGGCTGCATCTCTAAGACTTCCAAGCAGTGCTCCCAAACCATCAGAAGAATATGTGTGACAAAAGACACACCATTAGGTGAATGGACGTCAGATCTGTTTATGTTATTGCTTTCTTCTCATCCTTAGGGAACATAATAAATGTAGGAATTTCTTCAAACATTGAATTTCTTTTTATATGATCAGTTCAAAAACATGAAGTTATTTCCTATCATGAATATTTGAAGATACATGACAGACAAACGTACTTAGGAAAGAACTGTTTTGAAGAATTTGGTAAGAAAATTTTTTCCTTAAATTATTTGTTTGGTCTTTATACTTACAACTCACGGTTGATGAAGTACTATGCTCTTTTATAAGCCATGAAAGCTAGAATTGGAATACAGCATTTGGATGAGCAGATCTCATGCCCAGTCTCATGTTTACAAATTCTTGCCAATCTGTTAATGATGCACCAAAGTCTTCCACTACTTTTATCTATGTCAAGAAATAAATTCAAAGTGAACAGAAACTCACATTGTATTATACGTGAAGTCGTTGCAGATGTTTTGTGAAGTGCCCAGTATGTGTTTGTTATGTGTGATTGTGCTCACAGACCTGAGGAGTGTGTCAAGATGCATCTGTCTTCAGAATTCAAGAAGGTGGTAAAGAATTTATGCAACGATTTTTTGAGTGGAGCTTTACACTTGCTTAAGTATCTGCAACTTGATCATTAAACTTTTAGTTATTGCAGATCTTATAAAATTGTGGAGTATGCTTTAAGTCACTAATACCGTCATCTTACATTAAGTGGCATACCATTCACAAGTGGTAGAACAATGGCAACTGTTTCAAAACCGGTGGAATTGGCAGACAGCATCCAAAACTATTTCCATGATTTTGTATGCTGTGTACCAAAATGCCTTCCAAAGAGATACTGTGACAAGTGAAGGAAACAAACAGTTTTGGAATGCAAAGACATATTTACCTAATAATAAGTTGTCAACTTTGAAACTAATGAAATCCTGTTGACTATGAGCCATTGGGCTGTAACCACACTGAGCTTTATCTTCTAGACATAATATTATCAGAGTATAGGTTACTTATCTATGAATGCTGTTACTGAGGATTGCAAAGGGATATAATCTTACCTGCATGACAGCCACATCTTCCATTCAGGAACTTTATTAAGAATAAATGACTGTGATTGGTTACACTATATTAAAAATATATCCAGTGAAAACCATTGTGAAACGTAATTGCTTGCAGTGGGTTTGTACTGCTCACAGCAGTGTCTGTGAAGAGTGCAGTCTCCTGGGGTGTAATGCCTTGTGTTCTGGTAGAAGTTTGAGAAGAACATACTGCAATGAGGAAGCATGGTGTCACTGTATTTGCTTGCATGGCTTACTCTTTGACTCTGAAGATTGAGGCAGTATGTTCCTCCAAAACATCAATAATCTTCTACCAGACTGCATGGTGTGTCATCCCAGCAGATAGTACTCTTCAGAATTTTATAGATTGACAGTGCACTAAGTGAGGTGTCCCTGTACTCTGTTTTACTGTTTTGCTTTCCGGTTGTCATCATATGTAGAGATTTGGAAGCATTCAGATTGTAACGGTATAGATTTGACTTGCAGATTTAGAAATGTATGTTATACTTGTATTATATATGAGAGTATATTATATTATTTTAATGGTACACTGTTTTGCACAAATTTACTGTTTGACATACAGGAAAATATTTTAAATCTTTTGAACAGATAATACAACAAATCATTCAGTTAAGATAAAAATATTGCTACTTTTATATAATATGTTTTCAAATATGTTTTTAAAATTCAGATAAATTTAAAGTGTAACTTGTATGATTTAATAAATGGTTTTCTATCTTACTCAGACCCTATGTCTACCTAAGACATGTCTTAGCACAGGGGATTATCAGATGCCAAGATCTCTGTTCATGAAGCCCAGGGTTGTTGGTTTCACCCTATCATCACTGGGTCACTTCATGAAACACCTGTGTGTGTGTGGCTGGCCCATCACAACCAATACATGCCTTCTGGGTAATATAAACAGCCTATTGGAGAATATTTTTAAACTACTGTAAACACAATGGAAAACTAAGTTCTCAACATTTACTGTCTATAAGATAGAGCTCAGTGCATTCAGTTAAACACTCTGAGTACTTAATCATCCGTAAAGACTATTTATCAGGGATTTATGTGTCGTGCTAACATAATGTAAATGAGCCATTCATAAGAGCCTTTCTGTATTAAAATGCCTTAATACCTCTACATACATTTTAGTACATTTTGTATCTATTTTCTCATCAAAGTCAGAAATTATGTAACCATTTAAATACACATTTTCTTCTGCTGGTATAAAGATTACTCTTCAAGAGAAAATCCTTCTCATTACATCACTATATAAAACAGTGTGGTTATTTCCCACATTCCAAGAGCTTTAATTAATGCCAACTGAATTGGCTTGTGTAAGAACATTAAATCATTACATTCTTCTTAGCTTCTGGTTATCCTTGTTAAGAGTTAAATTGTACAGTACTACGTTCTCATAGTAAGTGCTTCAAGTTTTAGAAGCTACCTGTCATACATTTTTCTAGTTAAAAACATTTAATTCTGCTATGCATCACCAAAAGAACTATACAGAAATTGTCAGTAGCATAGCTTAGTGAGGTATGGGAGTGAAATAAATAGTAATTTTGAAAGTCCAGTGATGAACTTTGTATTTTTTTTTCAGTTCCAATGTATTTCACATATTGTTAAAAATTATTTGCATTTGGCACCATATGGAAAACAAGTTGTCATGATATGCCCTGTATTAAAATTACCGTGAGACAATGCAAGGTCTAAACTAATAGCTAAACAAATTCTATAATGGGAAAAATTCCCATATTATTCAGACACTGTAGATAGTCAACTAAACACTTCAAATTTTTAGTTAAAGGATATTGTTAGCAGTTACTTATAAACATAAAAGGTATCTTTGCAGAAATATTACTAGTAGACTATTCTTTTAGTATACTGTTCAGGCTCAGTAAACATGTTAGCTTCAGTAATCCTGTATGTACAAATAACTCTTAGTTTTACAATTCTGGCAAAGAAATTCTGTTCTGTCTTTTAGGCTGAATATTCATTAAATTTATTAACATTATTAAAATTCAGTTAAAGTATGTTATCCGTGTCTTGTAATATAGAAAAAATATCCCAACATTATGAGCTAGGCTCATTTTAGTCACTTTGGCCAGAAGGGAACAAAGGAAGGTTCACAATATCTTGTGTCATGCATAAAATTCAGTGATGAACTTCTAGAGATGCGAAGCTCTTCTGGAGAAAACACTCTAAAGAACTATGATTTTTCAATATACTGGGAAAAAAATATTTTTGAGATAACATGAACAGAATAAATAGGAAATAATATAATCTCATTTTAGTTACCAGGCTTTTAAAATTATATTCCAGTATAAACTATGTTGATTCTGACTTTTGCTTTCACTGTGAACTCTTCTTTTTGTCAGCCTTCAGCTTCCAATAACATTACCTATAAGGGTATAAAAGCACCCTTTCCACAAAGGATTCCATTCTGATGTTGCTGAATAAAACTGAAGAGAAAAAAATAAATCAGCTGCTTAGCATAAGGCAGCACTCTTTGATAGCTTCTTTCTTTTGTCTTTACCCCCAGTCCTCAAATTGCTATGCTGCTGAAAGTCATTCATGAGGTTACAATTTCAAATAGAATCCACGTAATGGATTTGTATATCTGTCTTTTCTTTTCACTTCTGTTTAAAGAGTTTATAAGACTATATGCTCAATTATTTGCCACATAGCTTTGGTACAAATTAACAGAGTATTTGTTGCCATATTATAATGATGCTGTCTTGTTCATAAGAATGTGCTGGCAATGAAACCGACATCTTGTACATATAATTTGTATAATTTTTTTAAACTGACATTATTTTTATGTACTGTATGCATGCATGATTTTTTTATAGAATGTGCATATAATGTGAAAATGGAAGTATAAGGTTTCAATGTTGTTTTTAGCCATAAGCGGTAGTGCCAAATTTATATTCCAATTTTGTACATAAATGTATTAGACATACGGACTTTGTAATAATAATATTATCATGAAACATCATTTTTTATTTATTTCCTCATGTTCACCCTCTATTTTAAATTGTGTTTCGCACAAGAACTGCCCTGTTATTGTAGTCAGCTGAAGGGAATAAACCACTTCAAAGACCTGAACTGATAGGAGGATAATATGAAGATTATCCTTAAAGGAATATAACATGAGGGTATGGATTGATTCGGGATAGTGACTAATGGCAAATTGTTGCATAGAGGATAATATGCCCCTGAGTTACATAAAAGGTGAAGATGGAAGTTTTGTGAGTAGATGATTGATTATTAATTTGTCTAAAAGGATTTTATTCCTAGTAATTAAACATAATACAGAGAATTCACTGGAAATTATGTCAAACGATATAATGATATAAATTCCGTCCCAAGTGCAAACAATATATTATGTGAAGAAAGCAGTCTTCTGGGATTTGGCACCGTGTATATGTGGTGTTAACCGACGTTTCGGAGGAACGTATCGCCCCCATCTTCAGGGTAGAAGAA